AAATCCCACAAGCCCTTCCATGACTCATGAGATGGTCCAGGCCCTTGAAGGACTCTGTGGTCCACCTCTGCTGGAAATGGGTGTGAACCATGGGCAGGTCGACGGACCGTAGTCCCTTTCACGATCCATGAACTCTGTCGTGGTTCACTATTTCTGGTTTTTTTTTGCTGTATTTTCTAAGTCTTATTTCCAAGGTGTAACACATACCATGCCCTTGGGGCTTGTTCTAGCACATACAAGGCCTCCGTTCAGAGATAAACTTGATCCTTTTTTCCAGGAATTGAGAAACCATCAGGTTGTTGTACATAGATCTCTTCAACAATCAAATCATTCAACAAAGCCGATTTGACCTCAAGTTGATGAATCTGTCAGGAAGTATGAGATGCAAATGCAAGAATAATTGATTGTGTCATACCTTAAAACAGGAGAAATTGTTTCTTGATAATCCACATCATATTGTTGTGCGTATCCCTTTACCACCAATTTAGCCTTATGTTTGCAAATTGTTCCATCAATATTGATTTTTGTCCTGAAAATCCATTTTACACCAATCACCTTGCGATTTCTAGGTCTGTCTACAATTTGCCAGGTTCCATTCTTCTCGATCATGTCTAGTTCATCTTGTATAGCTCTCCTCCATGCCTAAGAGTCTTGTGCTTCAATATAGCTTATTGGTTCATAGGTAACCAAATTACACTGCTGCTAGACATCTTTTAAGGTTCGAGTTCTCCTCACTAGTACATCATCCACTAGTTCATCTTTTGGAAGTTGAGGCTGCTCATTTGAAAATAAATTAGAATAAGAGGTCTTCTGATTTTGCCAATTCCAACCAGTTGTTTCATCAAACTTTACTTCTCGGCTGAGAATTAGTTTTTCTATTTTCAAACAGAAAATCATGTATCCTTTCTATTTTCAAGTCAAGTCTCCATTCCTCCATTGAAGATAAAAAATTGGCTTTGAGTTATGATAGTTTTCATCCATTGGTTCCTTCCATTGATGGAGTTCGCAAATTCTCCTATTTTCAAAGTTAGAAATCCCCAATTGAGTTAGGGTTTTCTTCAATTACCATGGGTTCTCTTCAATGTTGATTTAAATGACTGAATTATGATCTCTTATGCATGAATTGATGAAATACTATGATTTTATGATGATTTCCCCTATGAACCCATGTAATCCCCATGTTTTCAAGTTATGAGCATATGATGTGGGATTTTGGTTATGAAAGTTGACTTTTATGAAATTAAGCATGAATTGATAGATTTACATGAATTTATGATGGAGTGTATAGTTAACCCATGTTTCCTAAATGTGTATGATTGAAAGTGGGTTTTGAACCTTGAAAGGTGAATTATGAGATTATGCATGTTCTTATGAAATCTATGCAAATGTTTTAAGGATGCTTTGAGAGTAAAATATCAATGATGATGATGTTGATGTGTTATTGAATAGATTTTCTCATATACACATAAAAGCATGATGTGAAAGGTTTTCTCACATAATAAGGATTCTAAGGTTGAAAGGTCTTCTCACCTAATTGAATCAAAGACTAAGAACTATCCTAATGACTTAGCTTATATTGGTTATTGAATGATACCTTTCCATGGATTATGACTTAGCTTAGATTGGTTATTGAATGATACCTTTCCATGGATTATGACTTAGCTTAGATTGGAAAGATGATGTGTCTTTCCATGGATAATAAGAACAAGTAAGAAATGACTATTATGTAGGATTTATGCTTAGCACCGAGAGGATATTGAGATGGAAGCTCTCCTGTGAGTAGAGGTCGGGTTTCTAGAAGCAATCTCCTTATCCCTTACCTATGTTCCTGATGTGACACAAAATCTTGGCACATTTGATGCCTGAAAACTAAGGATTAATACTAGAATTGAGTGTATTTTTGTATGCTTTGATGTGTTTGTTGAATGTGTAGACAGATTTTTGCTTGTGTGGAAAAATGGAAAAGGAAGCAGAAGATGATAGTGATCAAGTGAAGACCACGAGCACCTAGACGGGTCGTGGTCCTTGTCACGAACCGTGGTGCCGGTCGTGAAGCATTTCCAGTATGAAAGCTTGGAGGAGTTGAGATTAGGTTGGACCAAGTAAAGACCACGGCCAACCTCACGGACCGTGGTCCTCATAACGGTCTGTGGTGCCAATCGTGAAGGTGAGCCAGTGAATGGGCAAGGAGAAGTTGAAAAAGGAATTGACCAAGTGAAGACCACAAACAACTACATGAACCGTGGTCATTGTCACGAGTCATGGTGGTGTTCGTGGTAATGACTCAGTGAAGAGGCATTGGAAAGTGGAAGAGGGAATTCATCAAGTGAAGACCACGGGCAACTACACGGACCGTGGTCATTGTCACGAGTCGTGGTAGTGTCCATGGTGATGATACATTGTAGAGGTCTTGAAGAGCCTATTTTGGGTGATTCCAAGTGAAGACCACGAAGGGCTTCATGGACCGTGAAGCCCTTGACGGGTCATAGAAGTGACCATGAAGTGTCCGACAGTTCAGTCCTACTTTAAGTAGGACTCTTCTTAAAACACTTTATTTGAATTAATTAGGTTATTTTTTATGTTTTATCTCGTCTAACCTTGAACGATGACGAAGTTCCATTATTCTCAGTTTTTTATTTTTGACTTTAACATTGAATTAAGTTCGAAGTTTGGATTTCCGGTTATTGAATTATCAAAGTAACTTGTTGATTTGCTTATTCTCGTAAGTACCTTCTCAACATGTTTTCATCTTATATTTTTGAATTTTTACGTGAAATCATGAGTGGATAAATACCACAATTGGATTGTGGGATCTATGACGTGAATCGAATTGTAATTTCGTAAAACAAGTGATAGGGGATTTATGTTTACAAACTATAATATAGCTTTCATTATTAACGTATTATGATGAGTGCACGCATTGCATTGAGCCTGTATCTATTATTTGTTCGAGAGAAAATTAATAGTTAGGAAAAAGCTAAATTAACTTGAAGAAATGGGGTCAAAGTTTGAGTTTGAGATAAAAGAACTTTAACACCATTGTGAACGAGGGTAAAACTAGTAATACTCTGGGACCGAGAGGATTTGAGTGAACATTATCTAATTAGACTGAGAAGTATCAGATATATCTAACTCATCTGTATTTTGTAGGGATAAATTGCCTGAAACTCAACTACAGAAGAACATTAGGTGTAACATTATGGGGAACACAATCCTGGTTTCTTTTAATCATCGAAACAACTTGAGAACTGAAAACTTTGTTAATTGTTAATCTGTATTTTGATTACAAATCTTAGTTACTAGAACATCACAACTAAACCCATTTTACTTTCTGTAATTGTTTCTTTAGGAAATAATAATGACATTTGAGTAAAACGCGACAGTGAAATCATTTATGTAAAGAAATTCTCTGTGGGATCGATCTCAACTCATGTTGAGTTCTATAAATTGACTTCGACCATTTATATCTCTTAATTGAGGTGTAAGTTTGGACATATCAAATTTTGGCACCGCTATCGGGGAATTTCAATTCATAATTGTTTTACTAGCTTTTATTCAAGTTGTAGTTATATTTCCTAATTTTACATCTTGTTTCTTTTTCTGTGTCTCTTTCTGGTGAGTTCTACGGTGTATGCCAAATACTAAAAGTAAAGGAGCTCCATTGATTCCTTACGACCCAGAACTTTAAAAGACTATTCGAAAAATGGTGAATGCACAAGAATTGAGGCGCAGAGACAGAGATTTGGATTGGAAGCTGAAACCATTGTCAGAGGTATTCAGCCAAATGTTGTGAATAACCCACCTAGGGCAGTGGACGAAAACATAGCAGTGGATGGAATCATTCCTCCCCATCACCAACCAATAGCTCCAAGGGGTAGAGCACAACCTCCAACTCACATGATGTATGAAGAGGATGGCTTAGACTTGGACGGAGCTGGAGCTACTGGAGTGATGGTGTTACCTGCACTACCTCCAGGTGTTAAATTCACAATCACCAGCATTATGATTCAACTACTGAATCTGAAAGGTATGTTCAGGGGTGCAGCAGGTGATGATGCTAACCAACATTTGATGAACTTTGTGGCGATCTGTAAATTGAAAGAAATTCCTGGAGTTAGCCAAACAACGATGAGATTGAGGCTGTTTCTATTGTCTCTTACTGGAGAGGCAACAAATTGGTTGAATGAGATGCCTGATGACTCAATCAGGACTTGGACTGATCTGAATGAAGCTTTCCTGGAACGATTCTTTCCTGAATCAAAAGAGCTGCAGATGAAAGATGAGATAAGTGCCCATAAGCAGCTACCAGGAGAAGCGATGCATGACACCTGGTGGAGATTCAACCAAAATATGAAGAAGTGTCCTAACCATGGTCTCACTGAGAGACATCTAAACTATGCATTTTATAGATCATTAAATTATGTTACTAAACCTGTTGCTGATGCAGTGTGTAGAGGATCATTTATGTGGTGTCAAAGAATAACAAGGCATGGTACACCAGGGATGCTGAAGTAGGAGATCTTGGGTACACTTTTGAACTTTCAGTTGAACAAAGGAAAAGAAAAGAAGAAAGGGATCAGGACATGGCACACATGAGGACCCAAATAAATTTACTTACGAAGCATACTGTCTCAAAGTCTGAAAAAGGTAAATGTTGTGGGACAGACAAACAGGTATGAAGATCAGGATATCGATCTAGATGAGGAGACTAATTACCTGGGCAACCAAAGAGGTTTACAGAATTACAACTCGGGAAACCAGGGTTACAATTCTGGAAATGCAGGTCGAAACTACTCAAGGGAAGGACAATATTATAGGCCAACAAATAGAGAGCAAGGAAACTGGCAGAATAGAGATGGGTACAAAAATGATAGCATTGGTGTCTATGTGACCCCAGGAAATAGTGATCGGGCAAGTGGTAGTTCCAGCAGGTCTAAGTTGGAAGACATGTTGGCCAAGGTGCTCCAAAAAGTTGAATCAACTGATGCAGGGTAAAGGATATGAATGGTGATTTCTCCAATATGAGTCAACTGGTAGACTCTCACACCACCTCCATCAAGAAAATTGAGCAACAGTTGGGGAAACTTTCAGCCTCATTAAATCAGAGGAAGAATGGGTCACTACCAAGTGACACAATCCAAAATCCTAAGAAGGACGGGTATTGCATGGCTATCGCCACCAGGAGTGGTAAGGTTCTAAATGACCCAATTTCTACAGGTACTAAACATGAGCAAGTGTTGGAGCAAGCTGGAAGAGAGGAGGATGAAGCTGAACAAGTATATGACTTGGAGGATGCTCAACCAATAGCAAAACAAGCAAGAGCAAAAGAAAAAGAGGTCAAGGGAACTATGCCTCTTCAGCAGATACTAAGACCACCTCCTTTTTTCCCTCAAAGGCTTAAAAAGAAAGTCGAAGATGGGAAATTTGTGAAGTTCATCACCACGCTACGACAGCTGTCAGTAAACATCCCACTGGTGGAAGCACTAGAGCAAATGCCAGGATATGCCAAGTTCATGAAGGACTTGGTCACAAAGAAAAAAGTTGTAAATATTGATTTAACTGACAATGTTCATCACTACAGTGCTATTGCTACCAGATCTCTAGTACAGAAGAAGGAGGAACCGGGTGCATTCACCATACCGTGCACCATCAGATCAATTGAATTCCTGAAGGCCTTGTGTGACTTAGGGGCCTGTATAAACTTGATGCCACTGGCCATCTACAAGCAACTTGGATTAGGAGTTCCAAAACCCACAGCCATGAGGTTGATGATGGCAGATAGGTCAGTGAAGAGACCTGTGGGCATCCTATGTGATGTGCTCGTAAAGGTGGACACATTCATCTTTCCAGCAAACTTCGTGATCTTAGATTGCGAAGTGGATTTTGAGGTTCCCATTATTTTGGGAAGACCATTCCTGGCCATAGGGCGAGCATTGGTAGATGTTGAGCGAGGAGAACTGAAATTCAAACTCAACAAAGAAGAGGTAAATTTTAATATTTGGAGGTCCATGAAGCAACCACATGACATGAATGTGGTGTCTGCGATAGAAGTTTTTGATGAAGAAGAAATGGGAGCAAGCATTAAAGAGAGGTTGGCTGTTGAAACCTTAACTGCAGTGCTGATGAATTTTGAAACTGATTTTCGGTCTGACTATGTAGAGACCGTGAATGCTTTGCAGTGTATGGGAGCACACTATTATGCTCCAAAGAAATTGGACTTGGATTTGAAAAATAGGTCAAGTCCTCCAGCAAAACCATCCATTGAGGAGCCACCTGTGCTGGAACTGAAACAGTTACCCAGTCACCTGAGGTATGTATTTTTGGGAGCTAACAACACTTCACCTGTGATTTTGGTTGCAGATTTGAATGATGAACGGGTTCAAGCTGTGATCAAAGTGTTGATAAGGTACAAAAGAGCTATTGGGTGGACCATTGCTGACATCATTGGGATACCTCTGGGAATATGCACCCATAAGATCCAACTTGAGGAGGACTGCAACCCAAGCATTGAACACCAAAGGAGGTTAAACCCACATATACAAGAGGTGGTCAAAAAGGAGATAATCAAGTGGTTAGACATTGGGGTGGTGTACCCCATTTCTGACAGTCATTGGGTCAGCCCAGTGCAATGTGTGCCCAAAAAGGGTGGTATGACTGTTGTTGTGAACGCAAAGAATGAGTTGGTCCCGCAGAGGCTAGTCACTGCATGGAGAGTGTGCATGGATTACAGAAAGCTGAACAAGTGGACCTTGAAGGATCACTTCCTGATGCCTTTCTTGGACCAGATGCTTGACAGGTTGGGTGGAAAAGGGTGGTTCTTCTTCTTAGATGGATACTCTGGCTACAACCCAATATCAATTGCTCCTGAAGATTTGGAAAAGACTACCTTTACATGTCCTTATGGAACCTATGCATTTAAACGGATGCCATTTGGACTATGTGATGCACCAACAACTTTCCAGAGGTGTAAGATGTTTATCTTCTAAGACATGGTGGAGGGCACTCTAGAGGTCTTTGATGCTTATCGTGACCAACGACACTATCCTATGGTATGAGTGTCTACAATCGTCGATAATATAGTAACCCAACCAAGGGTTGGGGTCGTGTCCCAAGGGAGCGAATTTGAGAATCAGTAGCCAAGTAGAATTTCGTTTAAATTAGTCGTAGCTAAAAACATTTGCGATAAAATACATTGTAAATTAAAGGGGGTGACACAAAAGTGTCAAATATTAAAAGGGGTTTTGTAACAAGTGATAAAACAGCAAAATAAACAAGAAAATCAAGTATGGGGAAGGTTCTTGGGATGTGACCGCAATACAAGTTCAGATAAATCTTTGGGTACATGCTTTCAATAGGAAATTTGCAAGACAATAGTGACTAGGCTAAGCTTTAAATGGAAATAACTTCCCTCTCGAGCAACTTACCCCATTTCAGATGTGTTCCTCTCGGACACCCATTTACCGTATGAAGACCAGTCTACGCCTTACCCCACTCACTCTCTCAAGCTGAGTGTTATGATATGTGACTAGGGTTCACCCTCTCGGGCTGAACCTCATGTCGACCCACTCCTTAGGCCATCATTCTAGTGGTTTTGGTTTTGCGACCTCCCTCTCGTGCAAGCCGAAAACACATGGGTGGCTTTGTATTTGCAACTACAAACCCTTTAGATTAAAACACAACCACTAGGTGAAATCACCATTAAAATACATCTAACATATCAGCAAGTAAGACCCAGCAAGAATATCAACCCATATTTGCTAAATAACACCATAAGAATGGGGGGTTTTAGTCACACATCAAGAAATAAGAAAATATACCTAACATGATAAATAAATCAACTGGGTATAAGAAATTAACCATTGAATTAAACTACGAAAGAAGAATAAAGAAGACTCACTTCCAACTTAGGGAAGATGAACTCCTTTCTTCAAGTCTCCACAAAACCCTCTCCAAACTTGAGAGAAAAATGCAGAAAAATACTATAGACTAATAATAATTTTTTACTCTAAAATTCTTCTCTAAAAGAGTACAACTCTAACTAGTATTTATAGTTTTCACGGATTGTGCTGCGGAGGATCGTTCGGCGACATTAGTCGAGATCGCCGATGAACTCGGCGATCCGCTATTTAATCAGCTCATCGCCTTCAGTGTCTTGCCTTCAGTATCCTTATATTTTGGATCATTGGGCGGTACAGTACTGCTTCGCGGAACTAATCGGCGAATTGCCGACTGCTCCTTTCCTCGCCTTTTGATCCACTTCCTTCAAGGCTTCGCGTACTGGAACAAATGGTGGTGCATGTCAATTCGGCGACTCGCCAAGTTAGACTCGGCGATCCGCAGATTTTCATTTCTTGTTCTTTTCAGCCCTTTTTGCTCTGTTTTGCGCCTAAGTGTCCATGCTTCCAGTAAAACTTCAAATACCTAAAACTTAAGCATTTTAATCAGTTATTGAGATAAAACAAGCATTCGAGGACACTATTTCTATTAAAATAAAGCCCTAAATTAGTCCAATATGTGGGCTCATCAACACCCCCAACTTGAACTTTTGTTTGTCCTCAAGCAAACTCAAATTCAGCAGTTCAAATACACAAGACTAAATCATGAATGAACACAACAAGACTCAATTTACTTATGGAAGGATCAATTGTGTACTCAAAGATTCAAATTGTGACACACAATTACCAAAGATTCTCATGCTCGCAATACTTGCTACTTGTGCAAGTTCAAGCTCAACAAAAGTATCTAAATGCCCTCACGTAAAGAATGATTCCATATTCACACACAGATATGAGTCAATTTAAGATCAGGAATCAGATACAATGCTCACACTCAAAACGAGGAACACAATGCATGTTTTCACCCATAGGTTTGCCCTTATTTTCCAATTGACTTTCGATCCAGCTTACTCAAGATCAAAAAGGTCTTTCTAAGGCTTGTAATGGGGCTGAGTGCAAAGGTATGGTCATTTAGGCTCAGTGACTTTTTCCTCATGAGTTGTGGCATTCTCAAGGCATTCCCTTCTTTTCCTTTATCAATTCTTTTTCTAGTGCTTCTAAGTCACTTTTTTTTATTTTCCTCCATGGATTGCTTGAAATCCGATTCCCTTCGTACTTTATTCCACATTTTATTTTGAATTAAAGGGGTTCCATTTTTATGCAATACCATGAGTTAAGGGGGGCTTTTCTTGCACTTCTTGGCTTCTCCTTTTCCCTTTCACCACACTCCTTACTTAGGCTTTTGGCCTAAGTTGGCTATGCGCTAAACCACAACTTAAGAGGATTGTAGGTAGTGGTTCAAGTAAGGTCTAGGGTTCATCAAGGTTCTTCCAAAGAAGGGTAAGACTCAAAGGGTGTTCAAAAGAGTTCACACGCTCATGGGTAGACCACAAAAAGAGGTATATGTTAAATTGGTTCACACTCTTCAAAAGTTACCTAAGATCATCTCAAGAGTACACCTTTCTAAATCAATCAGACTAAAGGGGCAAATTCTAGGTTTATTCATGCATGGTTCAAAGTAGGCTAATCACACAAGGCATCGATACTTCAGTCAAACAAGACTAGACACGTTTGCTAGCGTGCAACGGTCCTCACAAGAAAATCAATTTGATAAATGGCTAGTCACAACGAGTTGCAAAGAGTGCACATATTGTCTATGTAACTTCATTTGGCCTCATCGTAGCCATGCATTCATGTTTGTTCAATTGGGAGCACTATTCAAGTCATCGGTATTGGTCGAAATGAGACTCAATTTTCTTGCAAAAGAATAGCCACTTTCAATACAAGAGGTGGCAAAAAATTTTCGGAAGGATTAAAATTATTTTCAATTAGAACAACAGGAGCCATGAGCTCAAACATCCACAGAAAAGCAGTATTTAAAACATAAATTAAAGCAAACAATCCAAATATATACAGAACAAAACATGAATGTCAACACAAAAGGTGTAGGCCTCATTCCACCACAAATAAAAGCATTTGTCCTCAAATGCAAGTAATAATTATCCAAAAGTAGATGCTAGTAATTAAGAGATGAGGGTAGAGAAAGGTCATGTCTACGCCGTTTCTCTATCTGCTGGGGCATTAGTGCCCGGTGCATTTTTTTGGTCGGTGCCAGATCCACTAGGAGTAGCCTCTGACATACTAGCGGTGCCAGATCTACTAGGAGCCGGTGTGGACGTCTCAACCGGCACTACCTGAGTTGCTAACTGCACAACTATCTCCTTGAGATTCGGCAAGTCTCTAAAAATGATGTCTTTTTGGGTTTCGCATACTACCTCATCGTGCACTGCTATCTGCTCCTCATCAGTCTCCATCTCTGACTCTGCATATCTCCCATAGTAGTTGGAGGAGTTCCAGAGATGTTAGGAGTATCCTTGTCATCTGCTCCCCACATCAAGGCTATGAAATCGGTGGCCTTTAAATAGGCTACGTCCATCTTCAGCTCAACTATTTTGGCTTTTAGTGTTGAGACCTCGGGAGTCTCCCCTTGTCTATTCTCACAAGCAGTGAATCTAGCATTTAGATCATCAACAGTGGTTCTGATGGGGTTAGTGCGGTCAAGATGGCACTATTAATCATCTCTGGGCTGATCTTTCTAATCTGGTCGATCTCACGTCTGCTGAATAAGCCAGCTGCCCCATCTTCAGGATCATAGCTTGGGTAATCCTGGTAGGCTGGGGGAAGGACGAAGTACCTGGTACCTGTAAGGAAGAGTAAGGAGCAGATATACCTGAGGGCCTAGAGGTTGAAGTGCGGGGAGGTGCTCCCGTTGGTAGTGATTCAACGTTGACCTCTGGTGAAGTGTTAGTTGGAGCGGCTCTCCTCCTGTCAGCCTCCTCTCGTGTGAATTCGGCCTCTATACGCCGGATGTTGGTGGAGGAAGACCGGGTGACCTCAATATCAGTAGCAGGATCCCGGGGTACTCTGGCATGCCGACATAACTCAGTGATAAGAACTGGGAATGGCAATGATGTCTGCATTTGTTTGGCCCTCACAGCCATCTCTTGTGAAATTAGCAATCACAGGTCGAGTCGCCTCTTAGACATGACAGACCCAATGTAAGCCGCATTTTGATGATGCAGAATGGACTCGTTCTAGGATGGTATAATAGTGCTGCTAATGAAGTTAAACCAATACTGGGAGGCGATGTTCATATCTCTCTTCTCAATGGGGGATCCCGTGTCCATCCACCTCAGGGTGGTGTTAGAGATCATCGGAGCTAACCACCCCTTCAAATCATCAAGAGATGTAGTAATAGGCAAACCCTGGTAGGGAAGTATCGAATGTAACGGTCGTCCCAATACAATAATTATGTGTTCGTTGTGGCACTCTACTTCATTTCCTCTCACCATGACTGACTTCACTGGTCGAAAATCACTTGCCTTCTTCCTATTTTTCGGTACCAATTCCCCGTAGGCTAAGTAGAATTCGCGAACCCAGGAAGGTATGTAAGTGTCCCGTGGCCTCGTGAACTGCTCAAACTCATGATGCCTGAGCGTGTCAAGTACCTCAACATGCTTACCTTCCAGGCCTTCCACATATAGCAATTTTTCTTCGAGAATGGTGCGTAAGCTACCTCTTTTCAATCTGTTCAACAATCTTGGTAGAGGTGGAACTTCGGGAGGTGCAGGAGCCACTAGAGGTGATGTTTGGGTTGGCACTGGTTCAGTATTAGGCAAAGTGGCAGCTGACGGGGTACTGGTGGCTATGGACTAAGACCTGGCACGGAGTGGTCTCCTTCGGTCAATCAGAGGTAGTTCAGCCACTGAGTCAACAAATCTGGATCAATAACCACTCTTTTCTTTGCTACATGCTTTTTCCTTTAACCTTTATCTCCCGGTGGGAGATTTTGCATCCTTTTCTATGAAGGACGTGATCCTCCTTCATTTATTGTAATGCTCTTTGTTGTTTTCTAAGGGGGCTTGTTTAGGTTGGTGCGTACCATTTCTACAAGAGATCCAGAAGACACTCAAATGCAAGCACAAAAAAGT